TTATCCCATTTCTTACTAAATACACATGTTAGTGTCATGACAAGTAAAATTATGCAATGAAATGTCCAATTTATGGATTAACTTACTTAATCATATTAAGTCCAATCTTATTTAATCAACTCACACTAGGATAATTCAATAAAAGAAACAATCTGAAATCAATAACCATCAACAGGGCATCAGTAACTTGCCAATAGGGCAAAAAACATAGTCTCGCCAACACATACCGTGCCCAAGCCATAAATAAGGACATAATAGGTCCTACCCTGATCATGCCCCAGGCTCCCTCCAAACTGCATGTCAAAAAGGAACTCCATCCTCAACCGTCGGAGGCTACTACTCCTCTAAACTGCATAGTGTCCGGAGGTCTAACTTGTAGATAATCAGATCCACTATTTCCCTCAAGCGTACTGGATCACAATAATGGCTATAAGCCTATAACCCAGGCCACGCCCAAAAAACAACTAGGTATACTAAATACCAACACAGTTATTTAATACTTAGTTAAGTTTCATTTTTCCACACTTCAGAATATTTTTCAACACTTAGCCACCTTCTCAATAATTCCCCTTTCTAGCTAACCAATTGCCCCTATGGCTATAATACTTAATATACTCTTAGTGTGAAATGACCAATATGCCCCTAAGGCACAATTTTACCAAAATTACCCCTAAGGTGTTAATTACCAAAATGCCCTCAATGCCTAAGATCACCAATTTACCCTTCATTAATCCCAAGTTAATTTCCTACGTGTCAATTTCAATCAAATAATCCAAATATTCCCAAATGACTAGTTTACCCCTAAAGAGTAAAAATTATCCTTCTGCCCTTATAAGTACCAAATTCATTAAATAATCCAAATAACTCATAAACACAACTAAACCAAACCAAACCAAGCCAAGCCTTAAGTCCCATCAAATGGAGAACTCATAAACACAACTAAAATAATAAAATAGTCATTGAAACATGTATTTTTAAGAAACTAGAAAACAAAACTAGGGTAAAAATTATGGGAAAATAGTAAATCAACTCTAAATCACACCGTCTTTTAGACTAACTCATTTTAACCCATGCTTATTCTAACTACACCATTTTCCCCAATTTCTCAACACTTCAAATATTTCTCAAAAATTTCAAGTTGTCCAAAAATTATATTCTTTACATCAAAAATCTTAGAATATGACACAAATGACACTTTTCGAGATTTGAGCAAAAAGCCCCAAATTTATTAAATATTGTATTTCATGAAATTAAATGCAACATGACTATTATATTCTAAATTCATGAATTCGACCAACTAAACACTTTTCAAGTTTAGAAAATGAAAATCTTAACTAACTCAAAAACTAATGCAAAGTTCCATAAACTAATATGTGTATTTCATGGATTTAAATAAAAACAACTTAAATCATGCTTTTCATACCAAATCATACCATTAACTCATGAAATCAAATGATTAACTTGAAATAAGCCCTAACACGTTGTTTTAAGAAGAAAATGAGAAAACCCCTATCTTTACTTGAAGCTTTCAAAAATGAAGAGAAAAAGGTAGTGCAACTAACCTCCAATGAGGATAATGGCTCCATGAACACCAACCAAAGCTCCAAGGTGATCTTCAAAGTGTTTTTACAACTCACTTAAAACTCACTAATCAACTCACTTAGTGTATGCAATGGCCCTCAACAACTCAAACAAGTATTAAACCTAATAATGAATCAGCAAAAGAGACTTAAAGTGCACAATAATGGAAGAGAAGAAAATGGGAGAGAAGACAATGTTTTCTCTCTCTAAATTAACACCCAACAACTCTAAACTAGCCTTAGATTGATCCTAGGTTAGCTACTAACTCAAGTTTCAATCAATGGCCAATATCAAGCTTGAAAACCCTTTAAATCTCCACCCTAGGTTCAAAAATCAGATTTTTATTCATATATATCATTTATGTATAAAGCTTGGTCAAGCCCAGGTGACCCCCCTTTCCCCAATTGTGAAAGGGGTAAGAATGTGTAAATAAGGAATGAGGTTTTGTTCACCCTTAAAGAGGAAAGTCACATGCTAGGCATAGGGAAAATAGAGGGCTGGTTTTATTACTGAATAAAGGGGTTTTCTATGTAATTCTTATAGTGCTTATAGTCTCCCTTGTTCCCATTTACCAAACAACTCAATTTTCTATGTAAACTACACAATTTTTATATGCTTTATGTACTACAATTTCACGAAGTTCACAGGGTCAACTAAAATAAATAAAATTCACATAAATAACACAAGAATGATAATTATAGGACCTGGAGCATCCACCTCTCAAATCTCAAATTGGATCAGACATGTGCACACATGAATCAAGACAAACTACCCATCCAAATTCCCAATTCACTAGAATGCTACCAAATTATTAAATAGCACTATTTTAACTTATTAACATCTAATACTGAGCCCAGTGAGTCCATCTCTTGGATCTCATGTCAGTTTGGGCCCGGGTGCATGCAACTCAAGACAGTTGCTACACTGCCTTTCTCAACAAACAATTAAATTCTAATTTAAGAGGATTGACTCTAAGGTCACATCAACATCATCTACTGGGCCCGGAGGGTCTATCCCTTGGGTCTTGGGTTGGCTCTAGATTTGGTGCATGCAAACCGAGATAATCGGATGTGTAGAAAATTAACCGATGGAGGTTTAAACTAAAATGAATAGGAAAACTTGTGGGCTTAATTAAACTTAATTGAGGCTCAATTACATTAATTAAAGGTTCAAATTTACCTGGTCATTACACCTGAGGCCTTGCTTGGCCTATATAAACACCCATTTGGCTAAAGAAAGAAGAGTACTCACTACCTTGCCAAAAGTCTGCCCAAACACGCCCTTAACTTCTCTCTACCTCAATTGAAGGCTGGTCTTGAAGCTTCTTGAGCTTCCATTGAAGCTTTGAGAGGGATATCTGAGTTGTGTTGATTGCTCTAGTGCTATTCCCTCTTGCTTATAGCTTGGGAAGAGGTAAAACTTCATTTTCTAGACTTTATCACCTTTTATTTTCTTTTCCTTTCTTTATATTCAAATAACTCTATTCTTCTATATTGTTGTAGTTTTATTAGTCATTGGTTGTGTCTTGGGCTTGAGTAGTTGAGATTATTGTCAAATCCCATTATTGTTGATGTAGATTCATTGTCTTCCTTTCTCTTCATTTTATCACACTTTCTTGGTAGCCAAACATGCATTTTCCATATGATAATGGTTGAATCTATCCTCTCAAACTACTATTCCATGGATTTATGCTCATTTTCATGCTTAGAGGGTAGATTTTGATCATTCTCTACTTTTTCTTTTGTGTTTGTAGCTTATTTCTCTTTGATGAGAGTTGAATCTACTCCCTTCTTCAGATCATTTCATGGATTGAGGCCTTTCTCTTGCCTTTAGGCAAGACTTCTGCCTCTTTCCATGCTTTTGGGGGTAGATTCATCTCATTATCTATCTCTACCTCTTCTTTTTCAATCCTTATGTTAGTTAGCATTTGTATTATGCTCTTAGTGTAGTTCTCGTGATGATGGTGGAACCTACCCTCCCAAATCCATTATATCATGGATTTAGGCCTTTATCTTGTTCTTTGAACGATTTTCATGCTTATTTCCATGCATTGGAGGTAGATTCTAACCATCTTCTATCTCTCTCTACTTGCTTTTTGTCATTTCTAGTATTGTTGTTGTATCTTTAGCTTGGCTCTTGATAATGGTTAAGAACTACTTCCTTTGAATCTATTGCTTCTTGGGTTTGAGCCTTCATCTTGCTCTCTGAGTGAGATCTTGACTTCTTTCCATGTGTAACAGGTAGATTTTGATCGTTATCTAGCTCTTTTCTGTCTTCTCTTCTTATCTTGTACTTACTAGTATGTTCTTAGCTTAATTTGTGCACCTAGACTAGGCCCAGTTTATTGCGTTTTAGAGATGTTGTCGCTATCTTGTTATGTTGATTATACATGTTAATGTGATTCCCTTTGCTTGAGATGATTCACACGACATTCTAGTGGCAACCAGGCCTATAGGATTCATTTTTATTAGTTTTATTGCATTTAGTAGAGTCATGCATCTGGGATCATGCATCTTTTTTCTTTATTTTCTAATCCACTATGGTTTTGGCTTGGTGTGGAGGAGTACAAAGGTGAGCTTCTCTCCTTTCTTTTGCATCTTGCTAGTGTTTTCTTTCTTACTAAACATGCTACCATAATGCTATTTGCTGACTTGAGATATCTCTATGTTTGCTTGTTGATTGGAGGGCACTTTGCCTCAGTTGGAAGCATTCTTATCCTCCCCATGAGAGTTTTCTTTTCTATTCTTTGAAAAACTCTCAACAAAACATTTTTCGGTAGGAGGATAGAACCTTTCCAAAATAGGTTAGCAAATAGATTAGCGGATTTTCTGCAAATTTCCAAATCTAGACCCTCATTAGTTTCACACTGCACATTTCTTGTGAACAAAACGGGGGTGACCTCTTGGGCATGCAATTGGTATCCCACAACATGCATAATATTTGTGTGCCAATAGGTGTGATAGTTCGTCAAAAACATTAACATCATTGAAGATTAGGGATAAAGTTAGTGTCAATAGTTTAAGGGGGTAATTGTTTAAATTGATACTTCAAGGGGGTACAATGCCATAAGTGCAACAGTTTGAGGGGGCAAAGTGATTTTTTCCCATAATTTTCATCATTCAATAATTTGCATCGAATGAAGTTAGTACTACTCTTACTGTGCATCTTTTTGCAAATGAGTCACATTTTTACCATCTCTGAAGAGAAATGCATGTTGACATTACAATTCCTAATATTAATCACGTAGGATTTTGTTTTATACTTCTATCTATGTTTCTTTTCCCATGAAACTATATCTTAAAATCCTTGCACAATCTAGTTGGCATTGTGGAGCATTGCACAACACCCACTAGGGAATGAGTTATAAACAAAAGGAGCATGCAAAAGCAAACTAAATGCCTTGGAAGAAGAAAATATACCTTGATGCCAGGAACATGACAAAAGAAAGCTTCAGGGGATTGCGAGTGATAATGCCCACCATGACCCACAGCTCCATATGGTGCTCTTATAGTTAAACCTGGTAAATCACTAAAGAATCCTCTATATGCAATGGAAACATAACAAATTTGAACTTGTACAAACTATTTTACTTAAAATTACCTCCACAGTTAAATTGATTGCCACTCCGATATCTGAATTTAGCAGCTTCATTAACAATCTACAAAGTACAAGCTTAATTAGCCAAATATCGGTGGTGAGGAATCTGAGGATGCAGTATAACTTAGAACCAGGGATGATGCATGCCTGGTCAAATGCTGGATAGATATAGTCTGCAAATTGAATTTCTGCGATCGCTCGATTGCCCTACCATGTGAATTAACGCAAGTTGCATTTATCAGTTGAAAAAATTTTAGAAAAGAAAAATAAACGAATCAAACTTGATGGAGGGTTTTAATGAGAAGACTGTATGATAAATCCACAAAAGTTTTGAGCTCACCGTTGCAGCCAAACCGATCCCAAATCCAACGATGCCCTATGTGTGATAACATCAGTACAGAAGTTACCAAATGTACCAAATGGGAAAGATCCATAGCAATCAAATTATAGGATGAACAATGAGGCTCTCTCTATCACTCAACCATGTTGAGTTTGATGTTATAGAGAATCAGTTTCCAACCTAGAAATTCTTAATGAATGTTTAGTTTTAAATTTTAGAAATACTTGGACATGAATCTGCAGATCAGAATGGGTAGCATCTGAGATAGAATTACCTGCTCACAGAGAGGGGTATTAAAAACTCTGTGTTTGCCAAATCGATCAGCTAATCCTGTTGTGCATCGAAACACTCCGCCGAAGCTCACATCTTCTCCAAATACATAAGCACTGAGAGGAATATAATCTATATGAGTTGAACAGGTATCAATTTACATGATAAAAAAACTGTACCCATGCAAGAAAGCCGATTTTCTTCTGAACTAGACAATAGGGTCAAAAATAATACACCAAATGCTTGAGTGAATAAATTGGGCTCACGTGCAAATTTGTTGAAAAATTTTGGGAATAAATTGCCCATTTGTTTTGCCTGATTTTTTCAAAAGACGCACCAAGATTACATTTAATAGGCTACACCGACAAAAAGATGTTTAGACAATCATATTCTATCAAGTTTTCACAATTACAACTTATTAGTTATATATTTGAAGCTAATTCTTATACATTTCCATCGGAAAACTTGGTTGGGTTTCAGACCAGGGTTTGGGTGTCCATGGTAACATGATTCAAGACCCATTTGGAGATCCATGTAATTTAAATTCAAACCACCTTATCTTTAGGATAAGTATGGATAGCCTACTATCCCATCTTATAAAGAGATGTGGGTGGTTACAACTCTGAGACATGTCATATACATTAGATAACGTAGAATGGTGCGTGGGTCATTAGAATATTTCTCTCAACTCTCTATCTCTAATTCTCTGTCATTAGAGAACAACAAAAGCATCTGTACTATGGTTCGAGAGGGTGCTATTCATACCATAGTACCACTCCACTGGGAAGGTTTTGTTCATGATTTAGAAGCACGTGATTCACCTGTCAGGTTCTTGGTTTTAGATTCAACCTCAGAAGGTATGCCTGAATCTGTTATTTCCGCTACGTATTAGTTTTCTACGTTGGTATCAAAGTTGTTGAGGGTCTTTTTGTGCTTTTTCATGCATGAGTATAATTTTGGAACATTTTTTAGATTAGAAAATCACTCCTATATGCAAATTTTCATCAATGATTAGGCATTCCATGCAAAAAAATGGTAATTTTTCCTAACATGTCAAAATTGCCTAAATTTTTTACATGTTGTAGCTCATAAGATTATAATAAAATTTTGGAAGGTTTCGTCAAAAGTTATTAAACCATTTAGAAGAAATTTGATGTCAAAGAATCAAATCTCGTAACTTTGACTGTATTTTTCTACCACATACTTTGTTTTTTCAGTTATGAATCTTACATATTTGTAAAGCTTGTTCCAAGACCTTTTTGATAGCATATGATTGGCATGATTTGGGCTTATGGATTCAAAGAAAACTCAAACCCTAAAATTAATATCCCATGCACATTTGTTTCCTTTCCCTGTATGTAGATATGGCAGCTAAGAATATTGTGAAAGACTTGACTAAGCGAGAGAAATTTGATGACGATAACTATGACATCTAGTGACGTAAGATCCAATATCTCCTCAATGAGCATAAATTTTTCAGCACACTCAACCAAGTGATAGTCTGAGCAGGGCAATACAACTCAAAATTGTCATGATCTTGAAGCCTCTCAGATTTGGAATAACAAAGATCGGTGCACTCGCTTTACCATGTTAAGCAACATGAAAAATGACTAGATTAGTGAGTTTGAGAATTGTTTGACTGCACTTGAGACGTGGGAACCTCTTAAGAAAAAGTTTAGAGTCACCTCTTTGTCTTCCCTATGTACTCACTCTCCTAGCGAGGATCACTCTACTCAATCACTTGGTTGCCTAGGCTGGGAGTAAGGGCTAGGCATATCATTAGAGGATTGTGGATCGAAGACTAGGATCATGAGTTCGTCAAGGTTGCTTTGTTGTCTTCCCTGAAATGACAGCTCCACCTTGACCAATCTTGAGGGGACATTGACCTTACACTCACGGCTGCGGCATACATGATACATGCCCTGAGATATCATACCTACCTACCTCTGCAACTCCTATGAATCCTTCTCAAGGGCTTGAATCATAGGACACATAGTAAAGCTGATATCACCAGCTGTTGAGTTGACGAGAGCTCGCCACTTATCCATAAGTTGCTTGAGCTCCAATACTCTTGGATTCTATATAACAATATCATGAATGCATCCACATAGCAACAACACTATCAATCATATCATAACATACAACAAGATAGGAGCTCTCGCCTATCCTGGTTGCACTTACGCTAAGGATCCTAAGTACCAAAAGAGAACCAAGCATATTGATGTGAGGTTTAACTTTATTAGAGCATTGTGGCACAACGGAAGTGATCTTGGAACACATTCCTATGAGTCGCAAGTAGGTATGGCAACGGGGCGGGTTTGTCGTGCCCTGCCCCCATCTTGTATCACATCGGGGGTGGAACAAATCGAGGTGGCGGCGGAGGCAAGTTAATTTTGAAACTATAAAAATAAGAAAATTAATAAAAATTAGAGATAATATAGTATATTGAGAATAATTATTTATAATTAATTAGAGTTAAAAAATGTACGATGATAAATAAATGAGTGAAACTGAGGCCTCGTTTGGGAACAGGCTAATTTAGTAACTTTTTGGCTATTTGGCTAAAATATGAGCTAAAAAAAACTAGTATGTTTGGGATGACTTTTTGGCCTTTTACGAAAAGATGTGCAAAAAGTAGAAAGAAAAGAGGATCTTTGACTTTTTGGTATGGGTTGTTGGCTTTTTGGCTAATTCAGTAACTTTTTGGCTTTTTGGCTAAAAGAGAGGGTTCCCAAACGAGGCCTGAATATTAAGTGTAATATTTTAACATTTTAGTCTTACTATATTGAAAAAATTAAAATATATACATATAAATATATTTAATAAATAAAATTAAGACCGGGGGGGCAGGGTACGGAGCCGAGGGAGCAAAACCCATTGATGCAACACACGCAGGTTTGAAGCAAGTTTAAGCTAACTTAGGGGTAGGTTTAATGAAATAATACTAAGCGTTGTTTAGGTTTTGGTTATGAATGGTTTGGGCTTAAGGAGATAACAATTTGGTGACAAAATAAAGACTGTCTATGGGTTGCAGGTAGTAATTTATGAACAATGACAGAACAGAAAATAAGAAGATGAAAGAAAATAGGAATCACTCCTAGAATCCCTTATGCATCACCTCTAAGGTTTGGGTTGCATCACAAAAACCGTAAAGAGGCTCAAAGCTCTGGAAAATTATATAAATTCCGATTGTTATTATATTAGAAGCAATATATAGCTTTATATAGGATTATGAGACTTCCTTAGCCAACTAGAACCAAGAAGGAAACTACTAAAACCAGAAATAGAAACTACTACAAAATTTGACTTCTAAAACCTATTTAATGTCAAATAAAACTCATAATAAACATATTAAACCAATACCAAAGACCCATGGGTCAACACACAACGAACCAGCATAATCCAACACATGCCAAATCAAAACTTGAGCCTTAGAAGCATCTTTGTCATGCAGTTTATAGACTTTAGTATTATGCTACCACTTGTCTCCATCATCTAACTAATTTATTCTAGTTCCCAAGTGGATCATCTAACACATGCCAAATCAAAACTTGAGCCTTAGAAGCATCTTTCCCACACCGTTTATAGACTTTAGTATTACGTTGCCACTTGTGTTGTCTCCATCACCCGTCCTTGCTACACTTCCTCATCGGGGCAGGGTATACGGGAGCGAGGCGAAGCGTAGCGGGAGAAAATTGGCATCCCTAGTCACAAGGTTGCAAATCCTTTGACTAAGCCCATTCCGGGTATATTTATCTTAGGCTAGGTTTGGCATCATCTAAAAAAGTCAAAAAGTCACTATCGTATTTAAGTCACATCATCTTATTTAAGTCACATCACCTCTCTACCACATCACTTCAAACCCAACTCATATTTCATAAAAAGTCAAAAAGTGCACTTATTTAGAACATCCCAAACAACCCCTTAGTCATGTCAGGACTTTAGGACTTCGTAAGTGGTGATACATGTGTATGTTACTGTATTCAGTTGATCACTTACCTCATCTATTGACTTTTGGGGGATATTTATGTTATTAGTATTAATATTTGTTTTTGTTGTACATGTATGCTCACTGCTTATGAATATGGTTTGTGAGATAGCAGACACAAAAAAGGTTGATTAGATGTCAGCAAGTGAGATTGGCTCATTCACATGAGCAATCACCCTTGGTGTTGGATAGCGAGTAAGGATGAGACTAGTGATTTATAGTGGTTGGAGCCAAAAAGGGCTTAGATTATCCACTATATACGTAATCTTGGTTGGAGCTAAGATGAGGTCTTGTTATAGACCGACCATGGATGCTAATACCTACTTTCCATGTTGTGCCTATTTTGGATAGTCAAATGTGAGATATCATTTGGCGCTTAGAAGATAAGCAAATAGAGCATTTGGCTTACATGCTAGAAAGCGACTTGTGCGCCTAGAAGTGACTAGACTAAGATTTGTATGGTGTATAGAGTCTAATATCACTCTTCAAAAGGGTTACTCCACAATAGCATGTATTTATATTACATGCGTTTGATGATCAGTTAGTGAAATGAGAGGGTGGATCCCTACTTTCTCACGGTATGAAACCCATAGTTCATCATTGGTAACCTCATTGTTTGCCCTTTGCAACCCTTGACTATGTTATGAGGTGAAAGGGTTAATGTTCGGCTAGTTTGGTGTATTATTGGCAGTTAAGGGATATTACTAGGAAAGCAGTCAATTCCAATTTAACTGATATGAGGGGGAAGGGAAGATCATCTAGTATTACACATCTGCTATGTATTCATTGTCAACAACTCACTTTGCTCTACAAATTGAGTGTGAATAAACTACGAAAACTCGAGAGGATTGAGTATACTTTATGAGGGATTAGAGATAGTTGAACCAATGCAACCAAATGGGTCCGGGGTACATAAGACGCTATTTCCATTTCTGGGTTGATGTCTCAACGTTGGCTTTGTTTTGAGTTTCTATTATAGAGTTTCCACATGTAGGTGTTCTCAACAGTGGCACAGTCCATTGCCTAGTATGAGTTTGTTCAACGGTTAAGCAAATTGAGATAAAGACATGGCAACGCCATGCCAACTTGTGAGAGTGGAAGATATTGGAAAACTGAGTCGGGTTGGGTGTCCATGGTGACATGATCAAAGACCCATTTGGAGACAAAGGTAAATTGAATTCAAACCACCTTATCCTACGTATAAATATCCCATCTTATAAGGAGATGTGGGTGGTTACAACTCTGAGATACGTAGAATGGTGCGTAGGTTACCATAATATCTCTCTCAACTCTCACTGTTTTAACTCTCTGCCATTGGAGAACAACAAAAGCCTTTGTGTTGTGGTTCGCAAGGGTGATACTCAGTAGTATCGCTCCATCGCTAGAAAGGTTGTTTGTGATTCAAAAGCACCTGATTTACCCATTAAGTTGTTGGTTGCGGATTCAACCACAAAAGATATGCCCGAATCCTTTATTCCTGTTGAGTATTAGTTTCCAAAAATTTCCTATGTGTGAAAATCATCCCTTGGCATTGGGAAACAAACTGCAGCTATGAGAGGAGAGAAACCAATCAACCATGCAAATTTACTTTCTTTTTTTTTTTTTTTTTACTTTTTTCATTTTCTTCTTCTTTGTTTTATTTTTAATTTTTTTAACCCTTGCTTAATTACTTTGGAAAAACAAATCAAACGTATGTGATAAGAAGAGTGAGGTACACAGAGACAGTTACAGAGCAATAATCCCAGGTAGAATCTGCTGCCAAAAATATTGGAATTAAGTGGAGCGCAAATTATAGAGTAGAAGGTAAAAATGAATAGGCATATTGTATATAGAAAAGAAAAGAACAGAAAAGAAAGGGTGAGGAAAAAAGTAATTGACAGAGATACCGAGGATCAGAATGTAAGGCGATGTGAAGGGCTTGGTTGATAGCAGAGAAGAGGTTAATCGACTTCCCCCCAACCACACTCCCACTCTCACTTTCACATTCACTCTCTTGCTGCTGCTGCTGCTGCTGCTGCTGCCGGAGATTAATCTCACCCTCACCACCACTGCTGCTGCTGCTGGTCCCCCGAATAGGAATAGTATTATTACTACTAGTCCTAGTCTTAGAACAACCCAACCTTGCAAATCTCCTCAAACTGTTGGCCATTTTTGTATACATTAATTGATGGTACTGGGAACCTCTGTGCGTGCACCCACCCACGATCACAGATTTCCCGAGTGGCGTGGCGTGGCGTGGCGTGGCGTGGCGGTACAACTGAGAGTGGTGGTGCTATGCTAGTGTGCAATTCCAAATGGGAACAAACTCTTCTTATCTTGTTATCTTATTGGTAAAAATTCAAGACATCCCCGATTTTTTTTTTCTTTTTTTTTTTTTTTTTTTTTGGTAAAATAGCCGAAATGAATGAATTTTTTATCATACAAAATTTTTTTTACAAATATAAAATTTTGGTCATCAGTAATAATAATGACACTTGCTATTTTAATCTGGTATATACAATAATATGAATTTCTATAAAAGTAAAAAAATATATTTTACTCATATATGTTTGTTTTCTATTAACTATTTAGTTTGTTTGGTTTTGATTTTTAAAAGATAGTTTTCAAAAAAATTTACTTTTTTATTTTTTGTATTTTAATATTTTCAATAAATTTTTTAAACATTTTGAGTAATTTTTTTTAATATTTAGACACACCTAACATCAATACATTTAAAAAGTATAATATTTGTGAATTTTTTTTAAAAAAATACATTAAATACCAAAAAATATTTTAAAAAATACTAAATTTAGTACATTTTTCATATTTTTGTGTATTTATTAAATTTTTAAGATATTTTTTGACAAATATTTTACTATTTAGATATATCTAAGAAGATGCATGTACAAAGGTAAAAAAATTCTGTAAAATTTAAAAAATATTCATTACAAACAAAAAAATATAAAAAATAAAAAAACTTAATTTTCAAATAACTGAATTCAGAAAACTAAAACCAAGCACACTAATTCATTTTCTATTGTAGTAAACATCAAAAAATATAAATATATATATATATATATATATTTTCCATCCAAATAAACAAAACAGTAAAATTAAGTCTGTGGATCCACATACCTTGGGAAAAAAATCTGTAACGATTCACTGTTTATTATCATCGTGCCCTACTTGTTCCACAATTTTATTTTTCCTTCTAATTTCTATTTTGAAGATTCATATTTTAAATTATTTTTTTAAGATAAAATAGTGATAAATATATATTTTTTTATTTATATGACTAACGAATTATTGATAAAAATAAGTATTATATGAAGGAAAAATTAGTGAAACGTTCATCTCTAATTTTGGATAGTAAGAGGGATCCAACATGTTTTTGTCAAGATCTCTTAATAATATTATTAGAGAAATTGGTAAAATTTCTCTGTAAAAATTTACAAATTTTTCTATGAAAATATTAAGAGACTCTAACTACTATAAAAATATTGTACGCCCTTTATGGCTCCGTTTGGGATACACATTTGGACTAAAATAGTCCTATAGGACAAAATTGGCTATTTTAGTCAAATAAGACAAAATGTCACATCTGATCCATAATCATTTTATTTTTTCTCTCACAAAAGTCAAAAAATCTAAAAAGCCTATCTCAAATAAGACTTTTTTGTCCCGGGCTAAAATAGTCAAAAAGCCAACTTACATCCCAAATGAAACCTATATTATAAAATCCTAATATCGGATATCTTAAACTAAAGCCCCTTTATGATAATAGTAATAAGAACAAATTACAAATATATCTATTAAAATTTGTTTAAAATACGAATTGGCCCCTATAGTTTTGAAAATTATAAATACATTCTTATTAGAATTTTTTATTTAACAGAATTAATAGAAAAAATAAAACTTCTAACTACTTTTCTGTACAACAATAAAATTATATAAATTGTTAATTAAAATATATTTCTAACCTTATTAAAATTTGTTAATTAACTTAATAATTTATTATTAAACAGGATAATTTGTTATGCAATTATAAACTTTAAGAGGTAGAATGTAATTTTAAAAATTATATAGGACAATTCGTATTTTAAATTCAAGAGATGTATTTATATTGTAATTTCATATAAATAACAAATGCATACATATGGCCTATTTTATCAACTGAGTTAAAAGTCAATTTTTTTACTTTTTGACTTTTTTGAATCACGGCACATTTTTAATTTTTTGTACCTTTTTTCAAAGAAAGTCAAAAAATTGAGTTTTAACCTACTTTTCAAAAATAGGCCATATTGTTTTTTAGGTAATAAAATATTCTTTTTTAGGTAATAAAAAAATTTATACATAATGATGTGACTCATTGTGAACCATTTTAAAAATAAAATACCATTGAAATGAAATTTATTTACAATAATATTATTCCCATAACATTCTTGTCAAGTTTAATATATAAATCGAATTTTTTATTTGTAATTTGCTCTAATAATAATAGAAAAAATTATCACTCAATGGTAATTTCAAAAAAATTATTGCAAATATATAAAAAATATATATAATTATAATTATTAATATTTTAAAAAAAAATTAATTTCTTTTTGTAATTATTTTCTCAATACTCATCAAATTGAATTTTTTTAAAAGTTCACTCTAGACTCCTATAACCAAATCCATTCTTTCATTTTTCTTAACTTCCATACGTCCTTTTTGATTTCCTTTCTTCTCGTTACTTCAACATCTTGTACGGATCTCAATTCAACAATCAAATCCAAGTAATGCAGTTCCTGGTTTGACAAGGTAGTTAAATATTAATTTTTTAAATTTTGTAAAAATTTAAAAAAAATATAAGAAATAATAGGTCATAAAATGAGTTACAAGTTAAAAAACAACTTTCAAATATTTTTCTGAAATATCCCAATATATAAATGCTATAATAATAGGAGGGTGTTGAATGCCCACTTGCACGTGGCTCTCCTCGTGTATCTCGTTTCTTTGTTTCCTAATTGCTGAAAAAGTTCTCATCCACGCTGATACCCTATTTCTTTTCTTTTCTTTTCTTATTTTTTTTTTCTTTTTTTTTTTGGCACTCATTTGCACAAATTTACTTGGGTAAATTATAGAAAAATGACAATAAGTTAAAAGAATTGCAAGTTAATGGAAGACAAAAATAATAACAATAGAAAAAAATAATTGAAAAAAGGTAGGAAATTTTGTCAATTTTCAAATTTACTCTTTTCTTTCTCTTCACTTCTTTCCTTTCAATGTTGGCCAGGCCAACACCGTCGCTGACATCACCTCAAAGCCCCACCACCACTACCACCCAACCATCTTCATCCATCCTCCGACCACCACAACCCCTCCCTCAATTTCCAATCCCCATCATTTTAAAACCCTTCCTCCCTCCTTTTCTACTACTCTGGATAACCACTACTGCCGACGGCTAGCACTCCCAACCCCTTCCCCAACATCATAGTTCCGCCCCCACCCCACATCTACCCCTAATCACCACCGTAAACAAAAAGAAAGATTTGGATCCGAGGTGGATGACAATGACAGTTGTGTCGATGGTAGTGGCATTTCAGATCATAACCCCAACGACCTTTGGCAACTAGATCGTCTTTCTCTCTCTCTTTTAGGGTTTTGATTTTGAGGGCGGCGACGGCGGAGGGTAAGGGAGGGATCGTCGATAATTGGATACAGTGGAAGAGGGGTGTACTTGTTTTAAAATATTTCTAACTCCCAGAAAAGCAATTAAGTTGAATTAATAACATTTGATAGTATTTGTTTTAATCTGTTAGCTAAGACTTTTGAGAGGATTTTGTAGGTAATATAAATAGGTTAGCCCCTAGATGATCTTCACGTTCCAAAGGAGCTCCTCAATCCCTTTCAAATGGAACATTCGTTGTTCCATGGACAAACTTATCTTCAAAAGTGGAAAACAAGAAAAAGCTTCTTGAGAGAATCGCCTATCTTAAACTTGCTCCAGAAGTTAGCATCTCTATCAAGTCTAAGAAATCAAGTTGTAAGACTCTTATGAAATTGTTGGTGTGTCCATTGATTATTGCTTGGCCTAGCTTTAGTTTCTCCTTGTATGTTAACCTACTTCTTAGACTTTGTATAGAAGCTATGCTTGTTTTTTCCCTTCTCGAAGGGTGTGTTGCCTCTGGGTGTGTAATGAACCTCACAGTAATATCTATTTTTTTGTATATAACTTATGACTTTATCTACCAAAAAAAAAAGAGACTAATTGGCCGAAATTCCTTGATGTTTGCAAGGTTTTCCTTCTTAGGAATTAGTGCCACAAAGAACAGTTCAATCCTTTTACCAGTTTGCCTTTTCTATGAAATTCCTCCACAAAACTCATGATATCAACTTTCATAAATCCCCATCCTTTTTGGAAGCATGTTGAATTAAATTCATCAGGCTCAAGAGCTTTGTTACCATCACATTCCTTGATGATAGTCTAAATTTCTACTTCAAAGAAGTCTTCTCAAGTATTTCAAATGAATGGCTTGGCTCAATTGTCTTGAAATCACCAGAGAGTTTTGGTCTATCCTTTCAATATTCAATGAAGGCATTCCTCAAGTAGTTAGACACCACCTACTTCATCTCCATGGGATTATTATAGCTAATTCCATTTACAGTGACTGAATCCATTAGATACCTATTATGTTTTTTGGTAGCGATGATGTGGAAATACCTGGTATTTCGTCACCTTTTAGAGCACAGTTCACTCTAGACTCCTATAACCAAATCCATTCTTTCATTTTTCTTAACTTCCATACGTCCTTTTTGATTTCCTTTCTTCTCGTTACTTCAACATCTTGTACGGATCTCAATTCAACAATCAAATCCAAGTAATGCAGTTCCTCTTCAATGGCTTTGAGTTTACTGTTTACATTCCCAGAGACATAATAATTACATTTCCTTAAGGCCTCTTTAAGTGCTTGCAATCTTGTGTTTATTCTATAGCATGCCTAGCCTACCACTTATGTGTTTTCCAAACCTTTCTTACCTCTTTCAAGAAAGATGGGTGCAAAACCTAGGCATTAATAAATCTAAAGGGTTTGGGTCCCCAATCCGTATCATCCTCCATCAAAAGAATTAGCAATGATTAGATAGCAACCTTGGTAGCCCCCAGAGTTTAAATTTGAACCATTCTAACCACTCTTGACTTAATAAGAATCTATCTGATCTACTCCATCTATCATATTCTTGTGAGTTGCACCAGGTATATTTTCTTCCTAACATTGGAGTATCCACCATTACAAGGTTATCGATAAAATCATTAAATTCCTTCATTTCTCTATCTCTCCTTATACA